CTTTTCCGTGAGAGCGAATCAGCCGATCGTCGTCGATGAACGAGTGCAGCGCGAGGCAAAAAAAAAAACTCCGCGCGCGTACTCTCCTCGGGAGAAAATTGACTCTTCGAGTGAATTTGTTGCGCGCGAGGGAGATTTGCGTTCGCGAGCGCCCGGCGTAAATGGCCACCGGGCGAGCTGGACGAAGGACGGCGAGAATAATTAGTCATTTATGAGACCGTAAGTGGGGCCGCAAATCGGTCCTTCGCGGTGGGACGACGGCGATGTTAGGGACTCTGCGGGGACGACGGCGTTATCTTGAAATTATTAATCATATCGTAACGCGCGCGTCGCGCGAGAGACAGTCGAAGGGAGCGCGAGAAGGACGAGGAGAGACGAGAGACACAAGCTACCGGCTCCATGGACTTATCTGGCACCTTAATCAATTCCCAGTTATTAATTATGGCCTCTGCCCTTCCCCGGCCATCACTGCCCCCTCCTCCTCCTCCTCCTCCGTTCTACGCCAGCCTCGCGGGCGCACGCTTCCGAGACCCACGACGACGACGACGACGACACCATTGTCCGCGGTGGTACAATGCGGTGTCAACAAGATCGCGGTCACATTTTCCCCGAGCATGATCATTAATAATTATTTACCGAAGTGCGAAAGTCAGGTTGAAAGCGCGTGCGCCCAATGGGCGCCGACATCACGAGGAAGCGTGCACCCAAGGTGCAATAAGCATCGAACTCGTAAATTTTATCAAAACAAATAAATCAAAAAATAAATCGATCTTTCGTGAATAAAATTTTATATATAGAGAATAACTTATTAATATCTGATACATATGTAAGTTGAATGATGAGTGATTTTCATAATTTAGAATATTTTTATTATGTCATTTAAAAGATCACAAAATTGTAACAGGTTTTGTATAGTGAACTTGTAAACTTCGCGGATATAAAATTAAATATCTCACTAGACTATCTACTTATTGTTTCATAATTAATTGTAGTTTTATGTCCAAATGCATCAGAAAGAATAATAAAATGCATTTCGAAAGATAATAATAATGTAATCAACAATTCCTATCTCGTTGCCTACTAGATGTAGGTTTTTAAATCATCAATGTCGGAGAGTATCCACGCGCCAAAAGAAAGGATGAGTGGCGTCAAGTGGAAGTTGAATGATCGTTTATGCAAATCCTAATCCTTTCGAAGATCCATCCGAGCGACGTTGACGGATTGGCGGGGGACTTTGTTTGAAGCTAGTTAAACGGATTGCAATTCTCGCTACCATTTGTTCTCCTAAGGGCGCGAAAGCTTCCAAAACGACCGATTAGCGGGTTAGCTTAGCTAATTATCGATAAAAGGAGTAATAGAGAGAGCAAACGATTGCTTATCGAGAGAACTGACATAAGGTACTTATTTCTATGCTTTTCAAAAAAAGAGAAATCGATTAAAAATGAGAAAACACTTCGATTTACGTATCATACATATTGTACAACTCAAGTAAATTTTTAAAATAAAATCATATATTAAATTTAACCATTAGTAAAATTATTTTTTATATTTTTGAAATTGACATAATTTATCAAAAAATTGCTTCTTTATAATTTTAAACAAACAAACAATCATTTGAAATTATTCGAATTCAAATATTAAATGATGAAAAAATAAAAATGTTCAAGTGTGTGTTTAGTACAGTATAAATATAGAAAATTTAATATAAAAAAAATATATATATACTATATATATATATCTATATATATATATGATAGAGTAATTTTATATCCCAAGTACTGCAAAAAGCATACTATGCACGTACTATATAATATAACTATGTGTAATGGAAGCAACGAACTATGGAGTTTTGTTCGAAAAATACAAAGAACGATTATACTGGCAGTGGTGGCGCAAAAAAGGGGCGGCATGCCCGACCTGCTGAAAAATTAATCACCGACGTCACAAAGGAGTCGGTCGAAGACAATGCCAGCGGTCCGGAAAAATATTTTTCACATTTTCTCTCCCTCGGTTAATAGCAAATTCTCGATAATGGATCGTGGACACTCGCAATCTCAAGGAATAGGGGACGAAGTAGCGAATAATCGTGTTCTTCTGCGTGTCTCTATCACCCAACCCAAAAATTGGATAGAATATTTAACTCTTCCACGGCAGACTAAATTATTTTCAGAAGACATTGTTAATAATTTATTATGTAGAAACGTAACAATCTATATTCATGTACATCATATCGCATGAAGAGAAGAACGTTACGGTACATCCTCCTTCTTATTGGTGTAACTGCTTGTTTAATACGGGGACCCGACCACTTATTTCGTGGTTTTCATACCCCCTACGCGTACGTGTATACCGAAATCGCGCGTGACACGACAAACGTGTAATCCGCGAGAAGGGTTGATCCCGGTTTAGCTCGCGCACCGTTGAATCCACGAGATTTAAGCCCCGGCGAATTTGAATCTGTCAATCCGAAGTGTCCAGCCAACGTGTCGCGCCGCACGAGAGAATGTATAATAAGGGAGGGCGCACAGATAATGCCGTTCTGGATGTTAAAAGACTTTTTTTCACTGTCGGAAGGATCTCATTCGTATTTACGAGATCATATTCGAGCAGAATCGCCATAGAATCTACTAATACTCCTCTAAAATATTTAGAGGAAAGATCTTTTCTGTTTAAAGAACGCGTGCGACAAAAATGAGAATGTTCCTCTAATTATCGTATCGCGATAAAAAAAAAGGCAAAAAATAGAACAAAGAAATTGTATGGCATGTCTCGCTAGACGGAAGAAACTTTAATGATTTCTTCGTTCGCTCAGCTGTTTAATTAATTTTATAATTTTATATATAAGGTAATAGCACAGATTCAACTCAATAATAAATTTTGTGATCTGTAAACTACCGTGCATGCATCTGAAGTGTTTAGAGGCTGGACACATTAAATTCATCGATATAATTTTTGATCAACGGACAGAGTAAAAACAAAAAGAGCTCAGATTCATTCCTGATGAGCGCGCATTTGAGACGTGCGTGCCTCTGGGATCGTTTTCCCCAAGTGAAGTGTAGATTAGGGAGACGGGGGATACCAGAAAAGTAGAAACTCGAAGAAGATCGAGCGAGAGTCCAAATTGCATTTACGGTCTTGACCGTGGAAGAAGGCGAAACGATATTAAGACACCGGTGGCCCTTCGTCGGGGTCGATGTATCATTTGCCGGCGGGTCGTTAAGCGGTTTCAATTAGTTTTCTCCCGTGGCTGGCCCTCCCCCGCAGCCACACGAGCGAGAGACGAGAGAGAGAGAGAGAGAGAGAAGGATGAGTCCGCTACTGCCGCCCAGCTTAATCGCGCGGTCCAGTTTTTTCTCATAATTAGGAAAAGCTCGTTAATACATCCCGGATACATCTACCCTTCCCGTTCATCCTCCCTTTCCAACGTTTACGACAACCGGTTCCGACCGCGATCGACGAGCGCGAGATCGAGCGTTCGTCACTGAGTTTCTCGCAAAAATCTCGCGTTCGTAGCAGAGGCACGCACGTCTCAAGAATCTAAATATTTTAGAGGAGTATTAGTAAATTCTATATATAGCGATTCTGCTCGAATATGATCTCGTAAATACGAATGAGATCCTTCCGACAGTGAAAAAGTCTTTGTAATATCCAAAACGGATGGAAAGTACGATTTTACTGGATACAAATCTGAAAATAATTTTATTGAAAGCTCGACATTGCTGTAAAACGTTTTAACAAGTTTGAATTTCCGATAAAATTGTTTTAATGGTTCAACAAAATTATTTTCAAATCCAGCAAAATTCTTTCTCGCAAAATCGTTCTTTCGTGAAGAGTTGGGACAAAAATTCGCGCTCAAATGCAAGACGCTTAAAAAGGTAAAAAAATAATTGTATACAGCAGGTTGAATTGCAGTTTCAATAAAACATTAGATATTTTTGCAAATGCACCAACATGTTAATATCAAAGAATATTAAATTCATCTTAGAACTTCCGAAAATTGAGAAATATTCCATTTTCGTTAATTTTTAGACTATCTCGCAAAATTGTTCTTTCGTGAAATGTTGGGACAAAAATTCGCGCTCAAATGCAAGACGCTTGAAAAAATAAAAAAATAATTGTATACAACAGGTTGAATTGCAGTTTCAATAAAACATTAGATATTTTTGCAAATGCACCAACATGTTAATATCAAAGAATATTAAATTCATCTTAGAATTTACGAAAATTGTGGAATATTCAATTTTCGTTAATTTTACCTGGCAAAAAGTTTATAGATACGAATTTCGCGTCGGAACATAGAATGTTTGAGAAAAAGCGAAGTAAATAATTATGTATAGACAGATTATAATGTATTTCGATGAAATGCTAGATATCTTTCAAACGTACAAGCGTATTACACAATTAAAGAATATTTAAACCATCTTTATTCGATCTTCATTGATTTCATCTCAATAATTATTCCTATGTGTACTATTTACGACACAGTCTCTCTTTTAAGCACCTCAATTTTATTAAACAACATACCTTTCATGCATTATTCACCGATATTCGATGCCGCAGTTCCGCCGCCGACGCTTGCTTTACGCAATATGGCGGACGGTCGACGCGGCAGCGCGCACAACTCTCAGGACAACTAGCGCCATCTTAATGGCCACGCACGAACGTAGAAACGCTCGATACTCGCGGTTAGTTATCGACACCGTTAATTACCCAAGATTATAACCTTTAATTATGTCAAATCCAACATACCGACAGTATAGAAAAAAAATGTTACAACTATAAAATAATTCTTATATTGGAAGGCTTTTATTTTTTCTGATAGCTTTTTCTTTCTAAAAATCAGTGAAAAAATCCGAAATTAAAATTAAAATATAAATGTAAAATCTATTGTTTTTAATATTATATTATCTGAATGTGCAAGAGATAACCACAAAATTGTTCGTCTGAGAATGCAATTGCGATGCCACCGACGTGATATAAAAAAATTTAAGCGAACTCACCGAATGAAGGAACGCCAGCTGTCCAGGAAACTCTTCTCAACGATGTAGAAAGCTTTGTCAGGGTCGTTGCACTTGGCGATTTCATTTCTATTCCTTCCGTAATACAAGTCCGTCAGCTCGTCTTTCTGCTGTTTCGCCTTTATCTTGTCGTCTTTCTTCGCTCTTTGCGCACTTTCCATTCTTTCCTGCAAATCAATGGTACACGGAGGCAATTAAAGGATAGCTAAAAAATATTTCAATAACTTATTCGCACTCGTGTGAGAAAAAGAGACTAGTCTACCTCGCAAATTGAACAGGATGACGATCCAACGGAATATTCCTTCGAATCCGGGAAATATTTCTTAAGAATCGACCATGCCTCTTGAGGTATCACTTTCCTACTGGAGTCTGCCGTTTTAAGAGACTTGTGCTCACAGAGCAAGTCTTCGTTGAAGTTTATAATCTCATTCTCCTTGTTCTCCTCGACTTCCTTCGGACAATCGTTGCCGTCGGTCTTGCCGTTGTCTTTGTCGGTATTTTTACTCTCCTCCTGAATGTCCTGACAATCGTCCACCTTTTCCTCTACATCCTCTTGAAACGTTTCCATAGCTAATCTTCGCCATGATCGCAGTGAATCGGTGCCGATTATATAGCTCGTCTCGGTGCTAAAATGACAGAAATATCGTCACACGTTTATTAATATTACTTTACATTTTTATGTCAAATTTGAAAAAAAAAAATTACAAGCAGCTTACGGTTCTTTAAATGTACGAATTAGCTCCCCAACTTCTTTGTGATCTCGTTCAAGCGCTAGCTTGAAACGCAACAATTTGCAGCGTCGTTTCACGCAAATTTCGCACAAAAATGTCTGATCTAATCGCGGGCCTCCTTGATACTTGTCATAAAGCATTTGGGCTGCTAACTCCGGCACGCATTTCATACGACTAACTTTCAATGGATCGAGTCGACTGTGCGAGCACATTAAATTGGAATTGTCGATCGGACGGACGTCGACTGTAGAGGAATTTCCGTTCAACCATTTCGACAGCCAGTCGGTTGGTATCCAATAATAATTATCCCAAGATGTTACTGATTGGATTATATTATACACATCTATTATGAGTTGTCGTTTGAAATTCTGATCCTCAATTTCTTTTTGCTGGAAAAAAAGAGAGAATACAACGGACATTAAAAAAAAAAATTTAATAATTCTATCGTTTCTACGTAATACAGGTATTTCCTTACTTTTTCTTGCTGTGCGGCCAACAAACTCAATTCGTGTTTAACGTTTTCTTGTCTGACAAGTTCACGCATCGTGCTGCTTACTTGCCAATTCTCAAATTCCATCTGTAAAGAGAAAAATACGTTTTGTCAAATGTCACAGAAAATGTTACAAAATTTAGTGAATTCGTGAAAGGGATTCGTATCTAAAGAACCTGCCTCTTCATAAAAATCACGTTCTCCGCAACTCATAGCTCTGTGTGCGTCACCATTCAGTCGTTTATAATCAAGTTTAACGACTTTTACCACCGGCTGTTTTAGACAGTGCACCTTATTCTGTAATTGTTCTAAAGTAGAATCCTGTGTGTCTTTACATCCGTTTGTGCTAACGATAGCTTCTGTATCATTTCTATCTTCTGTTTCTATCTTCTCATTTTTATCCGTCGTAGGTGTATCAGTCTTTTTGGATATCGTACATTCATCCATTTCTGCTCTATTCTCGGAATTCTGTTCCAATTCCGATGCCGTTTCGTTCGGAGTATCGGAGTTTTCTTCTTTAACTGTAAGCTTCTCCAAACTTACAGTATCACTGGAAGCATTCACCTCCGCATCAGGTTTTTTCAATTTCACTTTTTTCGAAGCACTTGTTCGACTATCTACAGTTAACTTTTTATAAACCAACATGTAAGCTGTGTTGGATGACAGGAATCCCTTTGGAACACGTCCACGTTTCATTGATTTATCTGTATATATATAAAAAAAAAAGAAAAACTGACTGTCTTGTCGCGAGAAAAGCCATATGCTTTTTTTTAATTAAATATAAGATGTTTGATAAAAAAAAAAGCAATTACCATTCACGCTATCCTCGATTCGTTTATTCTGCATTTTTTCAACTTTATCGTCGCTAAACTGATACCACTCCCCGCTCGAATTACATATGTTCGCGATGTAATGCCCAGAATGTGCGGATGGACCTTTGTGGCTCAATACGGCGACGAGACTGTACAGATGAGTTTGAGGCTGACACCCAATATATTCCGACATATCGAGTTCCTCGGGAAATTGAATGTACGAATTCAACTTTTTCTTCTGTCCGGAATCTCTGTTGTAAATAAATAACTGCGCCATTACTTTGGACAATCAAGTTTGTTGCGTTATCGTAAAATTCATAAAAGTCCAAAAAAACTCACCTATGGAATACGAAGCGCATTAGCTGAATGTTCAAAGTCTCCGGGAGAGACTCCAGTCGTATGAATCGCCTGGCGTCCTTTTTGTCATTGCAAGTAACGCAATGGTATTGATTCGCCCCCGTCAACTGTTCCTCCAACAAATAATTGTCGATCGCCTCCTTCAACGTACCCGCCAGTTGTAGATCCAACTCATAGAATGTGGTGGACGTTGGGTACTCAGTGCTGCACGTGGAGCAACTGCATCAAACACATAAAATTCTGATTATCCACTAAAAAGTTCATCTCTCTTCCACGCCGGATCAGTTGGTCGCGCCGCAGCCATCGTAGCGAGCAACGTGTCCTACCATGTTGTCATCGTCAAGCTCATCAGCACCATCATCGTTTAGGAAAATTTCTCATTTGTTTCCACGTCAGAAAACCCACCGATTGATATAGCTGTATTTTCCCTGAGTCAGCCTCTGCAGCATCTGCTTCAGCTCCGAGTTTTGCTGGAGCTTTCCTTCGATATGGCACAATAGCAGCTTGGAGAATTCCTGAGCGTCTTGCTGCGTTCTGGTGTCCAGGGATAACGCGATAGCGAGATTAATTGGATCAAGGAGGCTCCGATTGCCGAATTGCATCATCGCAAAGAGGTACTGCAATTGGCCGACCGCGGTTACCGGCTGGTAGGGTATTCCTGCCTTCTTAGACTGGTACAACGCCTCCTTCTCCTCCGGATCCTCCGTAATATCCCATTTGTATATTATCCTTCTGTTGGCATTTAGATTTAATTAAGATAATATGCAACTTACATGCAAAATAGTTCAAGTTTTAACTAATATATATCGTGTACCTCATGTCTTCATTGTGAAACCACATCTGAATTAAGCTATTGACGTAGCAGGTAGCACCTAAATTCTTCAAGCCGACATACTGGGTTGGATCACGTAACTCGGATAAGGAACTTTCTAAAGACACAACCTCGGCCGGCTGAGACTTCATATATTTTTCCTCTCCCAAACCTGTCAGACATTGGGGATTGTATGTGCAATTACGTCTGAAACAGCAAGATAACACGTCTTAATTAGAATACATATTTACAGTAAACATTGCGGTATTACGACACAGTTAACGCACATGACAATCTTCTTTCGCCCGTATTGAAGAATAACTTTCCAACCTACTTGCAAGTTTTACAGCTCTTTAATCCAATCCTGTATGCAGTTTCCAAATGTATTTTCTCAATCTCGTCCGGATTGACAGATTCTATCCATCCCCATGCTAACTTATCCAAGTCCCCCTTCTTTGTCGGTGGCATATCTGTGACATAAAACATTATTCACTGAAAAAAAACTGACTATACAGTTGTATAATCATGCGCAATATATTATCGACATACATACATCAAAATTGATAAAATAATACATCTTTTAACAATGATTTCAATAAAGCGACGAAACCAATTTTTTTTCTATAAAGTTGCGCACAATTTTACGAGATATATATATTTCAATTCTAAAAATGTATTCTATGTATTCTAAAAATATCTGCCCACGACTGAATAAATTGAGATATTATTTATATTCATAAATTATCACGAAAATTATCATATGCCTTATCACGTTACCGTGCAGTCCGCGCTTCCCACGGAAGGTTCGTTCTAACAGTCGGAAAAAAGAAAAGAATTGAAAGTCGGGGCTGCACGTGTTCGTCCCCTGGAGACCCCGAAATTTTTCGCGCCATGACAAAAAAGTCAAGGAACTTGTCATTTTTTTCGGAGAAGCGAGACAGGAGACCAGGAGTCGAAGGGACAAAGAGACGCGGAGGGAGGGGGAGCAGGAGAACGCCGGGGCCGCGTTATCGGAGCACACGTCTTCGAGAGAAGACACGACGTGTCGGCGGATAAACAACGGTGGAGCGACACGCGACGCGGCGTCGGTGTTGCAATTATGAGACCGCGTGCATATCTCCGGGGGGGGCTGCCTTACCTCCGCACACTATTTACGACTTTAGGTTATGGAAAAGCACCGCCGCGCGTTACTCCCGCGGCATTGTCCCGCGAAAAAGTACGCCCCGGTGATCGTGCGGCCCCGCGCCGTCGAGTACCTCGGATTCTGGCCTCCGCGAAGTGCCGTCGAGTGGTGCCTGCGGCCTGCAGGTCCGCGGCGGTGGCCGCCACGGTGGTACGCGGTCGGGAAAAGAAAAAAAAAGGGTAAACGGCCGAGAGAGCGAGCGAGAGCTTGCCGCGAGTCGCGAGGCTTGTCGACCGAAACACCGAACCGAACGGCTTCGGTCGTCAGTCAGATCTGAGATCGGATCGGATCGGTCGTCGCCTCGGTCGGCTTGGGCCGCGCGGCGCGGCGTTAAATCAATCGCCGCCGAGTTTACCGACGCGGTGAGTCCCAAAACGGCGGAGACTGCACCGGTGAATTAATCAGGGACGTGTAGAATTATTGAATATAGATAATAGACGGTGTCACCGACAGAGACCGCCGAGACGGCGGCGCTCGCGAGAGGCGAGGAGGAGCTGCTCGGAACGCTTCCTCTTCCCTCGCGGAATTATTATTAACAACCGACCTGTCACTGTGCATACCAGATATCTTATCTTTCGTAGATACACATGATACATTTCGTACGCACGGTGTTGTGTGTGTGTGTGTATATATATGTCGCGTCGTTTTGAATAACCGCAAAAGTGGAGTGTACCCAGTTGGGTATCGCGAGTAAGATAACGAAACACGTTTTCCTACGCTATTTGGAAAAAGTTTAGCAAGACGTTTGAATCAGTCTGAAAAATGTCCAGCACGTTCCTGTATTTCGCTTACGGGAGTAATTTACTCGCTAAAAGGATACGTCTGAGTAATCCGACCGCGATAATGAAAGACATCGGTTACATAAAGGTAATTAAAAAAAAAAAAAAATAACATGTTTTTTTTTTTAGTTATTCTGTATCTCTGACAATAAGTTTGTATGCTGATAAAGTAAAAGTCGATTCAATGCAGATTTAATGTAAATTTTACATACATATACATATGTGTATACTGTATACGGATATGCATATATTTGTTGCATGGATGGAGTTTTTTAAATCATTTATCATTTTAACACTGAAAGGCTACACCTCAAACTGAATGAATAATATATAGACCATAACAAATACATATAATTAATAATTATATATATAATATATTCTATGTATAATTTTGAATTTTGAAGATGAAGGACATTTATAAGGATAAGATTATATCTCATTTTACAAATTCTGCAAATATCTATGAATATGTTCATAAAATATAAGAACCTTGAACTATATGTATACTTATTAAATATGTAACAGAATGATATTGCAGAATATAAACTGCAAATTATTAAACTTTAAATTTATTTTTTTTAATTTTTTTACATCTTTTTTACATCAACACAAACTAGAAAATCTTAATATTAAACTTATTACATTTGTACATTTATTATATATATATATATATAAAATACATTATAAACTTTTTTTTATAGAATTTCAGGCTGGATTTTAACAGATATTCTAAACGATGGTGCGGTTCATCCGCAACAATTGTAGAAACAGAAAATTCAGTCGTGTGGGGTGTAGTCTGGGAATTAGACAAGTGCAATTTAGCTACATTGGATAATCAAGAAGGCGTACAAGATAATATATATCATGCAATGTCGGTGAATGTCGAGACTCCTGATGGTAGAACTTTAGACTGTAGAGTGTACCAACAGTGTAATAATCCAAAGGAATACATAAAACCAGAGGACTTTCCAATGGATAAGAGACCTTCGCCATTATACTTGTACGTAAACAATTTATTTAAAAAATAACGCGAATAATGATTTTTATCTTCTACTTCTTATCATCTCTTTCAATTTGCCTTCATTATTTCGTGCAGGAGTATGATATTAAATGGGGCCAAAGAAAACAGTCTTCCCGCTGACTACATAAAATTCTTAAAAACTATCCCACACAATGGATACGAAGGAGAGTATGACATTAGGTAAGTAACAAGTCGAACAGTCGCAGCATTCTTGATTAAAACGTAAACTTTCGTTCTTCGTAATAAATAATTCGGTATTGATGAGTATAACGTAATTTCTTTTAATACCTTATGTACAAAATAGCATAATGCCCGTCTCTTATCTAATCCTCTTTCTGTTTTTCCATGGTTATGTACAACGATGCATCACAGCCTTTCCTTGATTCAAAATTGACTGCTACGACATTTGTATTGTACGAATACTTCTGATAATACGAATCGAGAATCACGTATTCCAACGCCGTGTCCGCCGTCATTTCGTCCAACTTACATCGAGGAATCTTCATTTTAAGGAACTCTCTTTTATTTATCTAAAAATATTGTAAATATGATGAATTAAAAATTGAAAAATGGAGATAGCTTAATGTAAAAAAAATGTTAAAACTTTAACAAAGCCTACATAAAAAAATTTTGCAAACACAGGACAGTTCTTCATTTTTCATATATTTGTATTTTAATGATATTACCAATATATATCGGAATATATACTTACGTAAACGTTCATTGCAAGATTATAGTCCATGTCAATATCTGGCCATTTCTGTTCAAACAGAGCTTTGTCCAAGTCAACTTCTGCATTATCTATAAGATGATGCTTCGCAGAACAAAAGATAGACCATAATTCAGAAGCAAAATGTGGAGCGAATGGAGCGAGCATTATAATTTGAACAGCTAAGGCACGTTCGTACTCGCGACTTTTCCTCAGACACTCTATGCCAACTTTTCGTAAGCTATAATTACAGATTCAAATTTATTGAATGTGTATTCAAATATTAGAATGACGCTGCACGAAATTATTAAATGCAATATTATTATTTACCTATTTGTAAGACCTTGCATTCGAGATATTGCTACGCTAAGTTGCTGCGATTCTACGATGTTAAACGTCACGTTTTTGAGAAAATAATTTCGGCTGTCGAACATGTACGCATCGTGTTCGGCGTATTTAGAATCGGTAGATTTGCTTTCGAGTTCCTCCAGGGACATTTTATCGCGTTCAGTTTTAAATTGTCTAACAGTGGTCCAAAGACGGTCTTGCCAATTTTTTATACCTTTAACAGCTGCAATTACATCACATAGAGTAAGCATATTACCTTCTAATGAGATCACTATTTTTAAATCACTGTTTACTGCGATTTAAGAAAACTTACTGTCCTCCGACCAATTTCTAGTGGACGTTGGTGCAACGTCGGCAAGTATTAATAATCTCGTCGTATCTATCCCATATTTTATCAACAGATTGAGAGGATCGATTCCGTTGTGCTTCGATTTCGACATTTTTTCCCAGTGCATAGAGACGAGCTCGCCGGACTTCGTCTTGTATTGATTCCCTTCCGTCACCACCTCGTTTTCTGGTACGTACTTGCCAGTGCTTACAACTTTATACGTTTTACCCATTACCACTCCTTGCACGAGGAGCTGTCTAAATGGTTCTCGGCACGGCAGAAGACCTTCCGAGTGCAGAAAATGACTCATAAACCGGGCAAAGTATAAATGAAGCACGGCTAAAAGATATGAAAAATTTATGAAGAATATTTTAATTTGAGATAAAAAAATGTGTAAAAAAATATATATCAATTAAAATAATATTACTATTATACCGTGTTCCTTTCCACCTATGTAGAGATCCACGGGAAAAGTTCTCTGGACTTTTTCCACCGAAAACATCTCGTTTTTATTTTTGGAATCGATGAATCTTAGAAAGTACCAGCTGCTATCTACAAACGTGTCCATCGTATCGACCTCCCTAGTGGCCGTTCCTCCACACTTGGGACATTCCGTCTGCATCCAATCCTTCACATCGCGGGTCGAGGGCTTTGTATTCGAGCCCGAGTGCGTCGACTTCAGCAATGTCACAGGAAGTTGATCGCGAGGCACGGGTTGCGCGCCACAATTTGTACAATGAATAATAGGTATAGGTGTGCCCCAATACCTCTGCCTAGAGATCAACCAATCCTGCAGTCTCGAGCTCACTGGATATCCGCCTATTTTCCATTCTCTAGCTTTTCGAAATACTTCGGTTATCTTCTGCTGCTGCTGTTCGTAGCTACGTATCGAATGCCGGGTAAATGGTATTCCGACCAACTCCGAGAACTTTAAATCGTCCATCGACGCCGAAGGTATACCCAAGCGGACGTCTCTCCACGGTGGATAAACGACTTTGTCAGTGATAAAAATCGGCAATTCCTCGCCGGAAAATGGATTTATTATTTTCGCGTTTAGACTCTTGATCCCGGCGTCTATTTCAAACGTGTGTTCTTTACGATGTAATACACTTTGAGGGGATATAGCAACGAATTTTGCGTACTCTATGAATTCTGGCATGTCAGTCCATATGTTTAACGTCCCTGGGAACTCCGGAATTTCGGATACTAATTTAAAATCGATACTAATGCCATTGCAATCACCTATCCAGTGTTTTTGCAATTTTATAATATCCTTCCATTCCTTCAAGGTTGGATCGTCTAAACCCTCCAGCAATGATCTATGATATAATTAATTTATTAATTAAAAATATTCTTTAAAATACTTTTCATATATATACATAATTTTTATATATGTATATACATATAAAACTTACTTTGCGAAAGCCGTTGTTCTAATAAACCACTGTTTCAACAATTTTTTCTCTACGAGCGCACCAGATCTCCAAGATCGCTGATTTGCATTTATCTGTTCCTCGGCTAGTACAGTCTGATCGACAGGATCCCAATTAACATAGGCTTCCTTTTGATAGGCCAAACCTTTGTCAAACAACTTTAGAAATAATTCTTGGGTCCACTTGTAATAATCAGGATCACAAGTTGCAAATTCTCTGTCCCAATCGAAGGAATAATTTAGCATCTTTAATTGATTACGCATCATCTCTACATTTTCATTTGTCCATACGACAGGACTGATTTTTCTCTCAATAGCAGCATTTTCCGCTGGCAGTCCAAAGGCGTCCCAACCCATCGGATGGATTACACTTTTACCTGCATCAATATTGCTTGTTAGAAATTTATGTCATTGTAACAACTATTTTTTTACAGCATAAAGACTTGTTACAAAAATCTCGTACGATATTATGACTTCCTCTAAAGCGTACCATTCAATCTATAAAATCGAGCTATAGTGTCGCTTATTGTATAAACCCGAACGTGACCCATGTGCAAGGCACCCGACGGATATGGAAACATAGACAGGACGTAAAATGTATTTTTGGGATTATCCTTAACACTGGGTTTGCAAAGATTAATTTTATCACACCAGCTTTTTTCTATCGCCCTCTTCATGTCTAACGAAATCTGAAAGGTAATGTTTCAATAAATAAAACGACATTCCATGCAAAATAAACAATAAAAATTCTAACCTACAAACTCACTAAAATTTACTTTTATAGACAACTACGAGATGACGTTAAAATTTTATTTTTATTTCAAATATGTAAAATAAAACCAAGCTAAAAGAAACTTTGTGTGCCTGACGCTTGAACATTTTAAATAAAATCAACGAGATAAACATTTGAAAAGAGAGTACCGGTGTGCTTGCGCTAGCGTTTGACAGTCGACACGACTGGTGAAAGTACTTATTTAGAAACCTTCGTGTCTTGCATCGTGACATCACTTTGAGGGAACGAGGTAAGCTTTGCATCATCGTGAAAAGTCAGATTTTTCCCACGTAAACAAAGTCAGACGCAAGCGACACGACACGCGCTCGTACGACCCTCACGCCACGTGCGCGGCCATTTTTCCGTACGACTGCAGACAAATTACTGCTCGTAGATTTGAGAACGGTCGTTTATTTTGCCGTTTTGGAACGTTAAGTATCTCTAAATATTATATTGATATCATCAGTATTATTATCGATATCGTTATTGTGTCCAAGAAACGCGGTGAAAGAGATTCCGTTTCCGTGCGACAGGGAGATCTTTTGGCTCCCAAGAGTGCCACTTCCGCCGGTCTCCACGTTCCTTTTCCGGCTTGTCTCGCGTCCCGTGGGTCGGTGAGTGAATGTCGTAGGATTTAAATCTACGCGAGATATCGCCATCGTATGTTCTACGTTATACGTAACGACGGGAACGCGCAGCTTTTTATGTTCCCGACAGCTTTTGACTCATACGTGTGATCCTCGTGATGAGATAATTGTTTTCGATTTGCGTTCAGTTTACGTCACGAAAAAGAGGTTAGAGTCGCATGTCCAAGTGCCGTTTTGTGAACTTTCGAACTCCTGAACGCTTTCTCGCGGCTCTTCCTGCGGTCTCGTCTATTTAATGCGTTTCGTATCCACAATTTCGCGTTGAGCATATTGAATTGTTTACGTACCTGCGTACCTTAACGGGAATTGTCAGGCTCGTTGCAGATACTAACCTCTCGTTCCATACACATGACACAAATTCCATAATTTAAAAGGGATCAGACACAGTATTTGAACTACAAAAATATCTGATGTCCGGCTGCACGTGATGTACAAAACGTAAATGCTAAATTTTGATCTTGTTGCAGATATTAGACATTAACCATGGGTAAGGGAAATAATATGATTCCAAATGGCCATTTCCATAAGGATTGGCAACGATACGTGAAGACCTGGTTCAATCAACCGGCGAGGAAGATCCGCCGTAAGCAGAAACGTCTCAAAAAGGCCCGAGCTGCGGCCCCCAGGTATGTACATACATATGACAGTGTATTGTGTAGTGATAAAAAGCTAAAAAACTCGATCTGCCCAGCATGAAAAATTCTTGATCGCGCAGCTCAATAAAGAGCATGCTTTTTTTCCGCAATGAATTACCCAAGCAGACTACAAGTCATCATGACATCAAAGTGGAGTCAAAATGGCTTCAAAGATTTGATTTATATTAAAAATCACTTCTCGATCAGCCATGAATCATTTATACATTATTTTGACATTATCGTGCTCTGTTATTCTGCTCGGGTAATGTTGAGGAAGGGGCGAGGATACTGTAAAACTCATTATATGCACGCGCGAGATGTGTACACATATATTTTGCGTGCTCTGTAAATGTAAAATATCGATAGTGTGTAACATGCGATTTATTCCCTCTGTAAAAGAAAAAGAATGAAAGCTTTGTTTGATCTTTTTGAAGACAGTGCGTGCACCGTTCGTCTCGTCTCGTTTTCTCCAACGTGAAGAGAAAAAGAGGGAAGATGTACCGTGTAAGAAAGTGCATGCACTGTCTTCAAAGCGAACATACCAAATATTGTGTAGTGATAATTGATACTATTTCGATATGTAATCTCAGTTTATTACACATTAATGCTCTTATACATGCGTAATAAAATTTATCTTTTATTTTTTGGTATTTAAATGTTATTGTTTTCACATTTCTCTTTAGGCCCGTAAACCTTCTGAGACCCATCGTGCATTGCCCGACATTCCGCTATCACACCAAGGTTCGCGCTGGTAAGGGTTTCACGCTCGCCGAGCTGAAAGCTAGCGGTTTGAACAGGAGATTTGCTAAAACAATCGGAATTGCGGTCGATCCTCGTCGTCGCAACAAGTCCATCGAATCCTTGCAAACCAATGCTCAACGCTTGAAGGAATATAAGGCTAAATTGATCCTGTTCCCTGTAAATGAGAAGAAGGTATGTAATTTCAAGTTGCCTTATCATTGATTTATAGAACGTATCCTTTTTTCATTAAATTCCTTTATTTAAATTTATTTCTTTAAAAAATTGGAGAATCATAATTTGTTATCTATGAAAAATATGCTTTTGCACGATTTATATATTTATCTTGTTTTCTTAAATTTCAGCCTAAGAAGGGCGATGCGACCGAAGAGGAGAGGAAACTGGCGGTTCAGATCAAGGGCGAGCCCATGCCCATCCGTCACCAGGCACCTGCGAAGGCAAAGGCTCGTCCGATCACCGAGGAGGAGACCAAATTCTCGGCATATGTAACCCTTCGTAAGGCACGAGCTGACGCGCGATTAGTCGGCATTCGTGCGAAGCGCGTCAAAGACGCGTCAGAGAACCCCGACGATGTGACCAAAGTCGCGAAGGATAAGAAACCGAAGAAGTAATTCTCTATACATATGACATCTCTTTTTCTTTATGTATATACAAAAATAAAATTTTCCTCTGACGGAAAACAATCTTTTCCCCTTTTTTCTGGAGTACCTTGTAATCATTTCTTTACTGCAGTAATAGAAGCAAATTGACAGAATGTTTATCAATACTTTTAATAATTTTTATATATGTTTTTTTTTGCATTTGAATATGAAAATCAGAAAGGGAAGATTCCTGTATTGCCGAGTTCATGTTTTATATCATAATTATGGAATTTTTATTTTAGAATACAACTGTAAGATTATTTTATTTTCAGAGACAGAAAAAAAGCTTGATTTAAAAAAGTTGTATATATTTTTTTAAAAGATATCACGCATGCGACCTTGCCAATCGTTTATCCACCGTACACACGCAACAGTTTAATGTAAACCGCCACGCGCGTGTTGTGTCGCCATAGTAGCGCATCTGTCATCTCGTTAATTACATCGGAAGTTAGAGTGAAATTAAAAGCCCGTCGGGAGTGAACGTTAAATTCGTCACGGCCGTTCCACCCTCGACGGTGGCCGTACGACTGTCTCGAGAGAGAGGCCGACTTGATCTCGTCCGGAGTTGAAATTTCGTCGGAACGTACGCGGTCGGCCGCGAGGTTATGGCAGCAGCCGTGCAGAGATGAGGAACCGACGTTTTCTCAACGCAAGCTGATCGCATCTGCGATCTGAGGAATTAAGCTCGGGGATTCGGTATCGCTAACATGATGGAGCTGAAGGTGTGGGTGGAAGGAATTCAACGCATTGTGTGTGGCGTTACCGAGACTACCACCTGTCAAGTATGTATATCAGTTTGAAACGTGTTTTTATATATATATATATATATATATATATATATATATATATATAAACACGAGATATACTAAATGTATATTATCAATCAAGTTTCAATAATTTTTTTAATTGTTATCTTATCTAATAAATAATTAACTTTATATGTTTATATTTTTTTAATTGTCTTCTAATAAATAATTAGACTTTATATATATATATATA